CCCCAAAACCCCAAAACCCCAAAACCCCAAAACCCCAAAACCCCGATTGGTGTCCTTTGGATTGGACTTCAAATTATTAGATACGAGGGAATTAGTTATCTCCTTCAAAAGAGTCATTCAAGAAGGAATCTACCATTTTCTGAACTCCTTCTTTTGCCAAATTACTACTCTCTCCAACTCCTAAACCTCTTTTTATAGGACTAATCCTGCCAACTTCCTTCAATTGAATGCCACACAACTTGTTCAGCTTAAAGTTTTCAAGCTCTTTGTTGAGCAAGAGTTTTCTAAGTCTTTGCTTAGAGAAGCTGTCTGAAGGCATTTCGTCATCTGCTAAAGTCAGGGTGAGGTCTGTGATCGGCAGTTTCAGTCAGGATAGCAGCTGCATGAAGGAGGCTGGGTGAGAAAGAGATGTGAAAGTAAGTCCTGAAGGGAAGGATAGCGGCTTTAATCTCTCAACAAAGTCTTCTTGGTCGAACTCATTCATTTCGAAGAATTCTTTTCCTGTAAATTCGAACTTCTGTACTCTAGTGTGAAAGTTATTTTCCTTAGAATGATCACAATAGACATAATATGCTTCATCAGCAAGAGTTCACATAGCTTTACATCCTGATACGAGGGAGATGGAGTCACACTTAATGAACACAGTTCTTTCTAACTCTTCATATGTCTCTGCCAGGTTTCTGTATCCATGTTCATCATCTTCGAAGCCGGTCTTGACGAGTGGGTTTATAGTAATGCTAGTCACAAAATCTTCAAATGAAGTAATGTCTATCTTGTTATTTTGATGTATGTCATAAAAGTTGCATTTGATGTAATCTACCTGAATATAGTTGGAAGTCGGATAGACTCTTAAAGGCGCACCATTAATTTCTACTTTACTAACTCTGAAGGAATGATAGGATTTACTTGAAGGAGAGTAGCAGTAAACCTCTATTGGGTTATCTTCTCCTTCATCCTTGGTTAATTGTTCATTCTCAATCATACAGAAGTTTATATCACTCTGAGTTAGGCTGGAAAAAATGAGAGAGCTGTTATTTCTCACTTTATCAACAAAACTCACCTCCTGAGATTCAAGATGCTTTTGAAAGGTGAATTTCTTGAGATTTCCGAACATTATTTCTCATCCTTCCTTTGTCAGGATATTATTAGCTTCTTCACCTTGAATATCTTTAGGATCAGTCCAGGCTTCTAGGACACCAAACAACCCACCAATTCCCTTTAACTTCACAGTCAAAGCTTGAGTCCTACTCCTCAAATTCTGTGAAGTATAATACACATTTCCAAATTCAAATAGGGCCATAAATAATCTTCCGTCAAGGATAAGCTCTTCAACGTCAAAGTCAATATCTCTGAAGGTCTCTAAGTCTTCTTCATCATGGATTTCTAGCTTTGCTGTCTTAAAGTAGTGGGAGAAGGGGGCCACGTAGCCGTTCGATAGTGGGGGAGAGATCATGTTAGGATAAGGATAAGGGGGATGGTAACCTGAGGACCTGGAAGTCCTGTACCAGGTAGTGAACTTTATGCAGCTAGTGTCGATGTCTGTAGAGAATAAGGTGTGGTAGAGCTCTCTGATGATGGGGAGGGAGGGGACTTCGGATGTAGGAGGGTAGAATTCGATGGGGTTGCAGGAATGTTTGGAGATTGTCACTGGGATTATGATCTTATTAAAGCACAAAAGTCTCGGATTAGTTACTTCCTCCACAAATCTTCTGAGTCTGAACAGCTCCTCATTGCATCTAATAATAACTTCTAGATTATAGGCAGAATACCTGGGTCCCTTTCTGCTTGCATCTCCTAAAATTCCTGAGATTTCTTCTTCCAAGAATTGTTCAGTTTCTTTACCAAAACCATACTCAAGAGTCAATATTTTTCTGAACCCTCTTTTTAAGGCTTTTGAATTTTTTCCGTAGAATTTATTAGTTCCCTTCGACACCAGAGACATCATCTTCTTACATTCATTAGAGTTGCCATAGTATTGCATTATGTTGATACATATGCCTAACTTCAACAAAAGGTTGTCTAAATCCATTAATATAAAAAGGAAAGTAAATTTATTTAATCTAAAAAAATATCAATAAATATCCTCCGATACGGGGTTTTGGGGTTTTGGGGTTTTGGGG